AAATAATGTATGATTAAGTAAATGTTCGATGCTCCATTTCCATTTATGATTTTATACTTATGTCTAACACTTGGTGAGTACAGTTCGATTGAAGTTACTTAAATACTGAAGGACTGCTTTTATATCTTACAATAGTATACTTATTGGTATCATATTGCAGAGACAATGGATGAAGGGTTGTGCAAAATTATAGATTGATTGAAGTTAGATATTAACACTGTTGAATACCTACTCATTACTGGTCTACACGTTAAGTGTTGATGAGCAAGACTGAAAGTTCTCGATTCGAATCAAGTGTGCGGAATAGTGGTTACGCACTGCTGAAGAATCCTATACTAGTAGAAAACGGTTGTATAATGCTATCAAGTTTTCAATGATGGTCTAGTTTATATCAACTCATCTATTCAAGTAATATATTATTATCGATTGAGATCATGAACCGATTTATTAGCTCCAGTGGTCACGGCTTCTCATTAGGACTCCGAGAATTTATTCACGAAGCTAGTCACTAGTGAGCACATGGTTATTATCAGTAGACAGTTGTTGAGATTATTAGGTTATTGATTGAGATCATGAACCGATTGATGTTAGACACCACCATTGAAAACCTGGAAGCACTGGATAACCGTTTCTTCTTATTGTGGGACTCCTCGGCAGTGCTCATCCACAATCCCACTCGCAGGGTTCAAACTTAAAGCTTTCAGTCTCGTGTGTGAACCAGCTGGCATCTAATGGTGTTAATGTCTAACCTCAACTAATCCATGAAATTGCGCGATCATCTTCCATTTTACTAAAGTAGATACCTGTCTCGATCTGACACAGATAAGCTCCATTGATTACGAGCCCTGGGTTCGAATCCCACGAGCAGGATTATGGATCCACATTGTTGAGTAGTCCCATAATAGGATGAAATAGCCATTTAGTTCTTTTAGGTTTTCCATGGTAGTCTAGGTTCAATTAATTCATAATATTAACTATTCAATTTATTACTATCATAACCACATAAACTCCTTCTAATATTATTTTATTCTTTCATATATTCTTCTTATTCAAGTTCAAGTGTTTTTAGCATAAATGATACAATTTTGTTTTTTTGTTTTGTTTTATAGTATCATTTAATAGATGAAATGATAATTATAATGAAATAATATTTGTGTTAACATTAATCAATCAATCAATCAATCAATCAATCAATTAATTAATTAATCGATCAATTATTTGAATATACTAATATGTCCTTATTTAATGCTAATCAATATTATGTAATCATTGATTAATCAATAAATTAATCAAAATGAATTTTCTCAATTAATAATCATGATAATGATAATAATCATGATAAATAAGGTCACTATTGAAAATGAAAATAAATAAATAAACAAATAAACAAATAAACGAGAAAGCACAAATGATATAACAATCAAATAATAATGATCTAATTTTCATCATTATGGTATATATATATATAGTTAATGTTCAATAGAGTTGTATCTAAGCCATTCAATGAAATTGTTATGTATATTTAAATGAGATTATAATGAATAGAATTTGAAAGTGTAATGAAAATTTAATAAAGAATAAATGTTAGTCAATCAGTGAATGAGTTAGTAAGCTACAACGTAGGATGATATACAATACATGTATTGGTTAAAGTAGCTATACCTCATTAGCACAACAAGATGAACAATAAATTCATAGAAGATGTTCATTTATTGATCGTAATATATCAATGAAAGTTTGCATATAAAGATATGATAGAGGAAGAAAAAATTAGTTGGTAGAAAGAAAAATATGAAGTAATTTTAATTTCATAGTTTAAGGGAAGACAGAGAGTGTATACACCTACATCATTGTGATCGATGCTGAGCTATGTCATTGTTATGTCTCGATACGCATAATGAATGGTAACTTTTAGGATCCATTTATGGACCAATACTATGCGTATACTTTTATCATATCACTGTTAAGTAACTAAACTATTCATATTTATGCCCCTCCTATCATAAGCTTTATTTTGACCTATGAACTGTTATTATACGATTTATCATTCTTGAGTTATGCCCTGTCTATTAATCACTACCTCCCTCATTCACAGCCACATTTGACTAAATTTTGTACAAATGTTGTTTCCTATTTTATGGTACGATGTGGTCTGTTTGATTGATATATAAACTCAGTATGTTTGAAATAAATGATTCATATCACAGAGTCTGAGATCAGTATTCTGGACTTAACAGTCAGGAAACAGGACCGATAAGTGCTCTAAACTGCTCGTACCTGTTTTATGCGTCATCGCTCCGATCGATTATTCACTGCTCTCTAATTGGCGTTATCATTACGTATGCATTATAGGGCACACAGAGCACAAGTTATAACAGTCACACAGAGTCTCCAAACGTTAGTTACGATAATCACAAGGATCCCAAACAAGTAGTCTGCATTAACCAACATGGCTAAGACTAGAAGTTAGTGACGTCAAGGACTGATGTCACGTTTTGGTTTAGCACCCCCCTTCCGCCATAACGTTCTTCCAACTATCCCCAATACTAGTCAGCAGTACGCGTCATAGTAATCGATGTTCAAGCATACGTGACACGTGGCCAAACCATCTTAGTCGATGAATATTTACAACCTCATCAACTGATTCATCATCATTCCCTAATACCCTGCATCTAACCTTACTATTACTTACCCGGTAATCCAAGCAGATGCGAGCAATATTTGTAAAACATCTGCGATTCAGTACTAGTAACTTACTAGTATACCATATTTTGATTTGGTCGCCTCTGCTTTCTTCTGACCCTCCCCAATACTAGCCAGCATTGTTCGTAATAGTAAAATTTGTTGAGATGAACATAAGCATTTTACATGTAAATTTAAATGTATTTGATTATGGTTGGTATGCAGTGAAACATCCCAACATAATCATGATCAGATTAAATTTTAATAATCTTATTTTTTGTAGTTGCATTCATGGGTTGATTAAAGTTAGACCAGTACTGAAAATCTGGAAGTGCTGAAAGACCGTTAAGATTTAGTATGGGGTTACTCGGAATTGCGCATCCACGACACCACGTGAAACTCCAAACCCAGAACCTTTGGTCTTGCCTGCTAATGTTTAACTTGCAGATCACTGAGCCGACATTCAGTAGTGTTAATGTCTAACTTCAATCGATTCATGACCTCGTGCAACCCTTCATCCATTGTCTACGGTGGATAACTGTCTCATACCCAACATGAATTAGACTCGATTGGTCACAACTTCTCATTAGAACTTCAAAAAACTCGTCTTGAAGCTAGTCGCTCGTGAGAGCATGTTATTTTTACCGAAATATGGATACATTTTTAACCATTCCATTGAAAGTAAACTGCCACTAACTACAGTCACGGTTTGAAACTGTTTAACGTAATAACTGAGTGGCTGCAACAAATGGGACTATTAAGAAGTTCCTTCACTTGTGATTATGATAGTCAAATGATTTGTGGAACTTGTGCAGACTACTGTGATAATGTTGTCTTTCAATTTAATATGTGTTCGAGAAAAAGGTCTACTAGAATAGGATTTTTTTCACTTGATCCAGATTGAGAATAAGGCAAATTATGGCAATGGCTGCGAACTGGATGATAAAAGCACCAGTAACACTGGATGCAGCCGGGTACAAATGCCTACATAGACTTGGTTATGTGCATTATGTCGTTATCCACAAACAACATTTTATGGACCCAACAACGGGAGTATACACAAACAATATTGAAACTATATGGTCTAGGTTGAAAGAGTTTTTGCGATGTTATCATGGCTTCAGTGGTCGTTTATTATGTAGCCATATTGATGATTTCCTCTACCATATTGTATTACGATTTTAAAACCTCTAAAGCTCTTTCTAACCTTAATAAGTTTTGAACTATGTAAAGAAGTGTATCCACTTTATTTCTTTGCTTTTGTATAATATATTTTTACTCTGTACTGTTTTCTGATTGGCTAACAGTTCTCAAGGTCGCCTGAGTTTCGTTCAAAGGTTGTCCATAAACTATAGTCCCGCCAATTACCGAAAGCAAGATCTTGACCTAGGTCACATGTTATGTAACACTTAGACAGCAAGATGACAACGTGACCATGAAAGAATCGGAACTCTCTAGATGATACCCAACCAGGTTACACAGATTCCCAGTATGAGATGTTATCATTGGGCCTTTAGGGCTGAGACTGATCTGTTATAGGACTGGGACATTTACAGTTAATTAATCACCGATTTCATGTTTTTCAAAGTCCCCATATCACTTGAAAACTTGAAATTCCTGAATGTCCTGGATAATTAAACTGTTTTAAAGTAAAATGTTGTGCACTATCACGGTGGATCTGATGCAGATGTAAAGGCGCGAATCGAAAAAAAAGAGCAGCATATTTACAACTGAAGAACACCTGGAACTCAAAACAATTGACAACCAACACCAAAGTCAGAATTTTCAATACAAATGTCAAGACAGTTCTACTGTATGGGGCCGAAACCTGAAGAACTACAAAAGCCAGAATATATAGGTGTTTATTAACAGTTGTCTACGCAAAATACTTCGGATCCGTTGGCCGGATACTATTAGCAACAACCTGATATGGGAGAGAACGAATCAGATTCCAGTGGAGGAAGAAATCAGAAAGAAGCGCTGGAAGTGGATAGGACACACATTGAGGAAAGCACTCAACTGCATCATAAGGTCACATGGAATCCTAAAGGTCAAATGAGAAGAGGAAGACCAAAGAACACATTACACCGGGAAATCGAGACAGATATGAGAAAAATGAACAAGAATTGGATGAAACTAGAAAAGAAGGCCTAGGACAGAGTGGGTTGGAGAATGCTGTTCGGTGGCCTATGCTCCATTAGGAGTAACAGGCGTAAGTAAGTAAGTAAGTCATTGTGCACTATTCTTCATTCAGATAATATTTATTTTAATATATTCATTCGTTTCTCAACATTACCTCTGTTATTGCTCACTTTCAGAATTCTAAGTGATATTCAACATCAGAATAGAAACAGATTTGACAAACATGAATAATACAGTTAATTTGATCAAATCAGTGAACTTAACACATTCAGATCATGCAGATGAAAATGTTGAAATTTGTATAAATCGTAAGCATAGAAGTTCGGACAGTTTCAACAATGAAGATCATGGACCAAGTGAAATGAAACGTCAATGTTTATTATCTGTTCACAGTCCAAATAATGTTAATGATAATATAAAAACAAAACATAAATTTAAATATTGGCTTGTATTTACTGTGGTAACAGCTGGTAAACAAGGTATTGAATTAGGATCTGATCAAACACCACTTATTCAATTTAATGGGATATTAGGTGATTTTTTTGAGAATAAGGTAAGTTGAATTAAAGTTTTTTTAAATTTGTTTAGTGTTTGAAACAGTGTCTATTGAATTCTACATCCATTCTGATGTATTAGTTTACAGATAAAGAGAACGAGTCTTTTGAAATTTAACGTTTGACTTGTAAATCACTGAGCCGACATCCAACGATGTTAATGTTTAACTTCAATAGATTCATGATCTTGTGCAACCCTTCATCCAGTGTCTCACACTCGACACGAGTTAGAATCCATTGGTCACGACTTCGAGCTAGAACTTCAAAAAAAACCTATCTTGAAGTTAGTTACTAGTGAGAACATATTATTTTTATCGAATTCTGCATCAGTTCTGTATAATCACATGTGTGATCGCCATGGATATTGTGGAAATGAGGAGCAATCTTGCTTAGTGCTGTGTTGTTTTTGACTCCTGTCATCACTTTCAACATATTCATTGGTTTTATCATAAGAACTTCGGTTAATTTTGCTCTATAAAGATAAATTGTCAAAGCCACATTATAAATAGATGGAATGAAGGTGATATCATAATAATTGGTATATAGTTAGTCGAAAATTACGAAACGTTGACTTAGTTGACCTAGTGAAAAACAAGCGTTTCATCTTATTTGAGACTGTTTAGCCGGATGTATCTGAATCCTAGAGTTGATAATCACAATATGAGTCAAATTCAGTACCTTCTGATTAAAACTCCATCATGTTATGCAGGCAGGAATCGTTGGACTCCACTGTTAACTCCTATCCATCTTTGCTTAGAATAATTTTAATTTAATGGCAGCGTTGAAGCAATTCACAAAAAAGGTTTTATGAAAATTTTCTTCCTTAGTTAAGTATTTATTAATAAGATCAGAGGCCCTACGAAACATTTTTAGGTGTTTAAACCAAGTTTAAATTGGATGATTTTAAGAAAATGTAAAAGCATTTGTTTAACTGACATTTCGTTATTTAATAGTTGAATTCGTGAGTCAATTGAAGCTAGATCATCATAGAAAACCTGGAAGTACTGGAATGCCGTTTCATCTTAATATGAGACGTGGATTGGTTGAAGTTAGTCATTATCACCATTGAATGACGGTTCAGTGATCTAGTAATTAAGCGAAATTAATAGGTCCTGCGTTCGAATCTCACGAGGTGGGATTGTGGATGCACACTAATGAGGAGTTCCATAGTAGAATAAAACAGTCATCCAATGCTTTCAAGTTTTCCATGGTGATCTAGCTTCAATTGCCTTATGAATTCAACAATTAAATTGCTATAATATCTACATAAACCCCTTCTCTGATTATAATCATCATATGCTCATTACTGAATGGTTTCAAAAGGTATTTCATAGAGTCCTATTGAGAAGCAATGAGCAGAGGAGTTCAATCGGGTATATTGTGAGATAGTAACTCACTGAAGAAAATAGTGGATAGTAGCACAACTTCATAGATTAATTTAAGTTAGACATTAACACCATTAGGTCACTGCACTGCTCAGTGATCTAATGCCCTGGTATAGCCGAGAGCAGGGAGGGTTCGCCCTCCCTCTCGAAATACTCTCACACGGCCACGCGTATACAGCCTCTGCCAGGGAAGTCCTACTCACTGCCTTCTCGTGGCGGGGGTGTTGTTTACAAAAATGAGAGGACGAAAAGCGAATGTCCGGCGCTATAACCGGATCTCAATTCAATGGTGCACATGGGCTCCAGTATCCTGCGGGAACAAATGGCGTATGAACCAACTTTGGTCACCGGCTTCCATGGGACTGCATCTACTCACGATGCTCCACTGCCTTGTGGACTAGACCCTTAGGTCAAAGGCTCGTGGTGTGGCCCCCTAAGAAAACCACCTGCTTCGGTTTGGGCATCCGGGCAGTATCTCAGCCCACGCACTAAAACCATGATGAACTATTTGCTTATGGTTAATCATTCGTACGTGAAATCGATCAGTCATTGGTTTAAATCTCATAAAGTGAGATCGTAGATGCACAGTATTAAGGAGTTTCTACAATAGGACAGAACGGCAGTCCAATACTTCCAAGTTTTCCATAATAATCTAGCATCAATTAACTCATGATCTCAACTATTAAACTTACTAATCATATTCAAAAATACCCGTGTTAGATTTCGTTTATTAAATACTAATAATAATAGATTCATTCAAACATGAATTTACCAAGAAATATTATTTCTTAATTTTATATATATAGAATATGTTAATCAAATCTCTTCAATAATAATGATATTTATTACTTACTTACTTACGCCTGTTACTCCTAATGGAGCATAGGCCGCCAAACAGCATTCTCCAACCCACTCTGTTATGGGCCTTCTTTTCTAGTTCCATCCATTTCTTGTTCATTTTCCTCATATCTATCTCCATTTCTCGGCGTAATGTATTCTTTGGTCTTCCTCTCCTCCTTCGACCTTGAGGATTCCATATGAGGGCTTGTCTTGTGATGCAGTTCGGTGCTTTCCTCAATGTGTGTCCTATCCACTTGCAGCGCTTCTTCCTGATTTATTCCTCCACTGGAATCTGATTTGTTCTCTCCCACAGTAGGTTGTTGCTTATAGTATCCGGCCAGCGGATCTGAAGTATTTTGCGTAGACAACTGTTAATAAACACCTGTATGTTTTGGACGATGGATTTCGTAGTTTTCCAGGTTTCGGCCCCATACAATAGAACTGTCTTGACATTTGTATTGAAAATTCTGACTTTGGTGTTGGTTGCCAATTGTTTTGAGTTCCAGGTAGTTCTTCAGTTGTAAATATGCTGCTCTTGCTTTGCCAATCCGTGCGTTTACATCTGCATCAGATCCACCGTGTTCATCGATGATACTGCCCAAATATATAATGATATTTATTAAATGATGAATATTGATTAAGATAATAGACAATTAATGATAGATTGTATAGATTTAAACAATAAATTGATTTTAATAAAAACACCATGTAATTTTATAATGATGTCAATGTTTCAATAAGGTCAAATATTGTTTTAATCATTCATTTTGATTTTAATTATTTAATGAATTTAATTTTTTTGGTATATAATTATATTTCTAAATGATTTCTATATAATAAAAGATAATATGAAATGATATTAGAATTGTTGATCATTGAACAAAAGGTGAGAAAATGATTATAATTTATAAATGAACCAATCAGGTATTTAGGTAAAAGATCTTGGATTTTAGCGGGAAATTTATTCATCTATTTGATGAAATAGAGTTTTTAACATTCTAACTGATGTTAGTTCGTGATGAAAAACCTTAAATCTAATTTGTTGTATTTTACTTTATGGCTGTTAAATTGTAGTCATTAAGAGTTGAAGATACTCGTTAGCTACTAGTATTTGACCATAAATGTTTTAAATATATTGTTGACATCTACTTCGATTACCGGGTAAGTAATAGTTAGACTAGACGTAGGGTATTAGGGAATGATGATAAATCAGTTGATGAGATGGTTGCGCCACGTGTCACGTATGCTTGAACATCGATTACTATGACGCGCACTGCTGGCTAGTTTTGAGGATAGTTGGAAGAAAGTTATGGCGGGGGGGGTGCTAAACCAAAACGTGACATCAGTCCTTGACGTCATTAACTTCTAGTCTTAGCCATGTTGGTTAATGCAGACTACTTGTTTGGGGTCCCTGTGACATGATTCAGAATCAATTACAATCGCGTAGGTAAATATAGTCTCTGTCTTCTTTTAAACTATGAGATTAAAATCACTTTATATCTTCCTTTCTACGAATTCATTCTTTCTTCCTGTATTATATCCTTACATGTAATCTTTCTTTTATATATTACCACAATTGAGTTAATTGCTCTTATGAATCCAGTGTTCATCTTGCTGTGTAAATGAGATATGGCAACTTGGACCGATGTATATATGTGCCTGGTATTATGTTATAGCTGACTGAATCACTCACATCAACTGTAAATCATAATTTTAATTCTTCACACACTGATTTATAACCCTCATTTGGTCCTAGTTATTGGGTGTATACTTTCAAGGTCATTTTGATGTCGCTCAAAGGTCGTCCATAAATTATATTCTCACCTAGAACTTGTTCATTTGGTTCCATATTTAGTTTGATAGATATTGTACCTTAATCTGTAGATTTTTTTGTAAATACAATTAGATTGTTGATCTTTCTGTAATGTGTTCAATGTTCTACAAAAAATATGTTGATTGTAGTGTTGGTTACCAATGTTAAACCTATATTACCTTATTCTACTACCTTCTGGACAAAGCAATTTATCTATTCTTCTTGAGTAGTCACGTTTAGACTTTGTTAATTATTCACTTATCAATCTTGATTGTTTCTATATGAGCTTATTTGTGTGTACACTTTTAATCCGATTCATCACATATCTGTAGATTATTTTTGTGTGACTATAAATATTGATTAACGCTTGATTAAATGAAGTTGGTTTACATAACTTCTTCACTACGTGTCATTTCGTTTCTATCTCTCTTCTCTTCGCTTCCTTCGCTTCATCTCACTGATTGTCTGTCTAGATCAATAAGTGTGCAAAACATGTGTATTCAAACATCCATTCTCGTATAGTTTTGATCATATCATTGAGTCACATGATTTTATCAGAATGGGTTTTGTGGAGATTTTAGTAATTTCAATTGAAGCTAGACCACTATGGGACTCTTCAGCAATGCTCATCCACGGTCCCTCTCGCGAGATTCGAATCCAGGATCTATCAATCTCGCGCGCGAGCGCTTAATCAACTAGACCACTGAGCTGGCCGGCATCCAATCGTGTTAATGTCTAACTTCAACTATTCCACGAAATTGAACGACACATCTACCATTGTCATCAGTGAGTTACTATCTCACAACACACCTGGTTGAACTCCATTGGTCATTGCTTCTCAGTAGAACTCCAAGAAATGCTTTTTGAAGTCATTCACTAGTGAGCATACGTTGATTGATATCAGAAAGGGTTTTCGAAGTCATCATAGTAATTTCAATAGTTGAGATCATGAGTCAATCAAAGCTAGACCATCTTGGAAAACCTGGAAGCACTGGACGGTCGTTTAGTCCTAGTATGTTTTTATTATAGTTGAATATTAGCAAATAGTACATCCAGGTAAAACTGGCTAATAAGTACCACATACAATGAAACGTACGTTCTGAATTGTACTGCTAGCTAATGTCTAACTTTACTATAAAACATACGACTAAATAACCATCACAATTTAGTTGGCTCATAATGAACACAAGGTAAAATTAAACTGGTTATTACTAACACTTAAAAAACAAAAAAATCTCATATATATTTTCCATAAGGTCTGTATGTATCCTTATCGATAGTTTTACTCACATTCATTACTGATCTAATGGAAATATCAACTGAACCTGTTAGAATCGAATAATTTTTAAGCGTTTCAAGTAAAAACAATACCAATTGAATTTAAACTTCAACACATCGCCCAAGCAAGTGGTTATCAGGACTCAGTAAGTAAGCGAGTAATGGGATGGCTCTTGAAGCGTACGATACTGGGTTCGAGTCCCAGAGTGAATATCAATTCTGGAATTTAGGACTCATCCAGCCGCTGAGTCCCAAATAAGACAAAACGCGTGTCCTGAATTCCACTGTCACTATGCCACTATTCATCTATGCTTATAAAGCTTGTAACTTAAGACAATATCGAGGAAAATTAGAACACGATGTACATGTGACAATAAGAGACTAATCAAATGCAACATTGGGAAGATATAAGCAAACAACACCAAATGAATGTAGATAATATTTATTTGAAATTGGTTTAGCCTTTACTTTAACTCACTTACAAAAACTCATACACAACTTTGGAACGGATTACAAAAAAGTTAACAGACATATGATATGTAATATCAGGAATGATGATCTCACATAATCTGCTAACTGAACTGATCTGTAATTTGCTCAAATTTTTGGCATGAAATCAAATCAATATCTGTAGTCATACACATTTATGATGATTCATTAATTCATTATTCAGAAGTTATCTTTGATTTAGAAGCATTCTACATTCTATTAATACAGATCATTTTATGACTTTAACATAATATTATTTTGATAACAAAAAGATATAACTACTTAAGCTTTAATATTCCATACGATCCTCTGAAGTTATTACAATCACTAGTTGAATAAAACCCAGATGGATTTCATTAATGTGCAATAGTTTCTCAATTGCTTACAGTGAATCAAGTTTCAGATTACCGGGTACAGAGATGTTACAATAGTAGAACCATCATCCAAGAAATAGAATATTTAAATAGTTTTCATTAAAACTATGAACCAACCAATGCTAGAGCACCAGTGAAAATCTGGAAGCACTGGACAGCTGTTTCTATCTAATATGAGGGTCCTCTACAGTACATATCCCTAATTCCGTATGCAGGATTCACACCGAGGACCTCCAGTTTTGTGCAAATGCTTAACTTCTAGATCATTGATTTGGAATCCTGAGTGAGGGTTCATGGAAACATACTGCTAAGAAGTCTCACATTAGGATGAAACGGCTATCCAGTGATTTTAGTTTTCTTAATTGATCGATTCATGATTTCAATAAAATTTATCAGACTTTGCAATCCTATTGTTCACTGTCCACAACTCCACGCACGAAATTCAAGTACTCAGGGATCATATCAACACACGTATCCACGATGAGCACTCTTTGCACATACAACTTGATGTTGTTACGTTTTCTCCCTGATCCTTCAAACATGTCTATGGGTGCACGTTTAGGTACAAAGAACAACGCCCGGAGCTCTAACTGTTCTTCAACAGAGAAGTACTTCCCCGCAAGATGGTCTTCCCAGTCATAAGCTAGCGACTTGTAAAACTCGACATACTCTTCGGTATTTATGTCTTAAGGTTCGCGTGTCCAGAGTGGTTTAAGCTTGTTCATCTGCTCTTCCTGGGCAAACTTCTCTACAACCTTCTTCTTCTTTCTCTTTTGTTTATTCTCCTCTTCCTCGTCTTCATCTAGATCTTCAACTTTCGGCTTGTCGTCAGATAAAAATATACTCATAAGATCGGTCCATAAATGGATCCCAAAAGTTACCATTCACTGTTCTTATCGGGATACAACACCTATACTAAAAGTTAAATAATTTTGTTTAAATATTATAAATAACGTGATGAATTTATGGACTGGTATCTGTCGTTAGAAAACAGACTATATCAGACTGTAATATTTCATATATGTTATGTGTAGTATGTAGTAAAACTGAATAAAACGAAAACATTATGATGTAACTGTTTTGCACAAAATCAACCAATGTTGATCTCAGTCATTAAGGGTACTACATTTTATTAAGTTAGTTAGTTACAACGTAGCACCAAGCACATATATACATCGGTTCAAGTTGCCATTACATCATTTACACAGCAAGATGAACACCAGATTCATATGAGCAATTAACTCAATGATGTTACGATATAAAAGAAAGATTACATATAAGAATGAAATACAGGAAGAAAGAATGAATTTGTAGAAAGGAAGATATAAAGTGATTTTAATCTCATAGTTTAAGCAAAGATAAAGACTATATACACCTACGTTATTGATGAAAGAATAACTGATTTTTATTCTGAAGAAAAATGTATCACAATTTACACAGAACTCTAAAGATATATTCTTCTTTTGAAATTACTCTCATTGGTTCTGATATTTCTGTTTATCCCATGGCAACTAAAGATCTTGTATTAACAAGTAAGAAATATGAATGTTATGGATATTTATCAAAGATTTTTAAATGAATCATTTTAATGATTGAAATCATTACAATCTTTTATAAAACCCCTACTGATAATAATAATAATAATAATAATAATTATCCATTATTAAATATTAAAATTTTTTATATTTTTTTTTTTTACATATTTCTAGATTATTGATCGGATCAACATTTTTATTCGCCCAGAAAACTTGATACGAATTCAACGATCTTCTATCGATCTAATCAATAATCCATTTCAATTTCAATCAAATATTAATAATAATAATATTAATAATAATAATAATAATAATAATAATAATAATAATGAATTAAAATCAGATTATTATGTTATTTCATATTGGAATAATTATAATCATAAAAACAATGAGTTATCCCCTAGTAATACAGGGAAATTAATTCATTCCATTGAATCCATAAGAAATGATATGAATATTTCTATAGAAGCATTAGAAGCTGCTAATTTACAGGTTAATTCAAATGATCAAATACATAGTATAAACTTTAAAGAATCAATAATTCAAGTGAGTTAATTTTTTTTTTATTGATAGTGAAAGTTGTTTATTTTCTGAAATATGAAAATAAGATTTTATTTTGATATGAGAACAGTTCATGGATGAACTTGAGGAAGTGATATAAAGCTCAGAAACAACTGATTGATTCATCCATAAACTATAGTCTCGCCATCCGGTTCATTTAATTTGGTATTATGAATAGACCATAAATTGTATCTAAAATATTGGCTACCATCACACTGCATAGATTATGTTAAGTCTATTAGGAATTAGCTCATAATGGATAGAATTTAATTTTTTTTTAGTTTTCATTACAGTGATTATGTCTTTAGTTTACCATAGATACTTGAACATTAATCATTTGAAATGATGTCAAATGACCGTTGCATGTTCTGTTGATGACATGTTGGAGACTAAATTGATCTCTGATGGTCCCTTTGTAAAGCTATTTTTATTGGTATTCGAAAACAGCTACAATGAAGGTATATGATAGTAATTAAAGTGTAGATCCATTACTAAAGGAGAAAATATTCTTCTACTATATAATAACATCAACTTCGCCGACTTTAACAAGTTTTAAATATGCCTTCAAGAAGGATCCTATATCGAGTTTCGTTTGATGAAACAGTATTATAAAATGAAAAACAAGAATGTGAATTTAGTATCCTTTAATGAATCTACAGAATATTCATTCGAAAGAGATAACAAAATGAATTCAGGGATTATAAAGTATTACTTTTAATCGACATCAGTATCAATAGTCGTAACGTTTTACATAGTTTAATACAGAGGATGATACTTTTTATATAAATTTTCTAATATCCTCATTTGCTTATTTGTATTGTGTAAGGACGGTCCACGGGTGAACTCGAGGAAGTTCTAAAAAGCTCAGAAACAGCTGAAGATATTTTATATCGAATCAGCTTTTGGAAGAATAGTCCAAAATCATCATCTGTAGCTTCCTTATTGGATAAATGCTAATAATCCTCTGTATGCGGATTGGATAATTATAATGATGATTTGATTTTCACTAAAAACTATAAATATCTGACAATTCTGTGTCATTATTGACATTGTTTGGAATAAAATTCCTTCCACTTTTCTTCTATCTAGAGTCCGATTTCTCAAGTTATACGCGGTAGATTAAAAATCTAAACTCTAGATATAACAACTGGCGACGGGGATGAGATATCTTCGGCTCATTCTGAGCTTCTTAAAGCTTCCTCAAGTTCACCCGTGAACTGAGTGCTCAAGTTATATGCGGTATATTAAAAATCTAATATAATTATAGATTAAAACATTCTAGAAATTCCGTACGTGTAATTTATTCTAAGTGAAAGTTTTCCTACAACAACTATGAACGACTGAAAAAAAGATTTCCAATTGTAGTGCTTCAGTAGTCAATGCTGCATATTACTTACTTATGACTGTTACTCCTCATGAACGAGCCTAGGCCGCCCACCAATAATGCAGCATATTACAAGAGAGTTAATAGATTATGACTAAACAATTATATCTGTGAAAACTACTGTACATTTTGTTTGCAATTTTTTTATGTTAGTATTTATAATCCAGCGGTTTTTGAATTCCTATAAAATCTACATTATTCAGTAACTTAACCAATATTTACTTAATATCAGTATAGGGTTGTGGAGATTGTTGAATTTGGATTGATATCATGAATGGATCAATGTTAGATCACCATTGAAAACTTGGAAGTACTGGACAGCTGTTTTGTCCTAGTACGGGACTCCTCATAATTACGCATCCACGATTCGGTATGCAGGACTCGAACCCAGAACTTTTGGTCTGGTGCGCGATTTCTTAGCCTTTAGATCACTGAGCCAGAATCCTATTGTTTTAATGTCTAACTAATGACCGAAGAACTTAGTGAATTATAAACCAAAAGAGATATTCTTAGCCTCTCATATTACCAGTGAGATTTTAAAGTCTTAATATGTACTCTGTTCAAAGTAAAGTATAACTTTTCAATATCATCTATTTCATTTGGATTAAAAGTACATTCATACTGTTTGAATCTCTTGAAATATACTTTTTTTATGCACTCTCGAATTGATCTATTCATCACATGGACGAATTCTAATCTTCTGAATTCTTCATGTCGCTTTCGTTTTCCTTTTTCCACATTTATTTCACTGGATTATACTCCTTGAATAACATCTGCAAACCCTAATCTTTCCAATTACTGCTTAAACTTTTACTACCTCTACCACTACGGGATTTGAATCGACAAATGCACCTCTGTGCTAATGTGGTTTGGCAACTCTGACTGATGTACGTACGTACGAAGTTCTACGTTGTTACTGACTGACTCTGACTGAATTAGTATACGCTGAATAGTTTGACTACAGTTGATTGTTGTAAATAATAATCTATTTTCGTAGGGAAATTTAACGATTTGCAACATATAAAGCTGAAGTAGAAGACAATCATGGTATTTTTTATTTCAGACTAATTATTTAAGCGTAAATAAATGACAGTTTACAATGAATTGATCACTATGTAGTGATCAAATGTCATGTATATCAGGTTATTCTTAGTGCAGATCTATTCCTATCGACCAAGTTGAAATGAGTCCACCAGTCTAGATGATTCAATATTGCGTGTACTATATTGCGATAAGATGATATTTGGAGGTAGTCAATAGGAAACCCTGAACCTATGTCAGGTATGGATGACTCAGTGCTCACGTCTCTGAATGTGAATCTCTGTGACACGAGATTAAATCCGTTATGGAGCATCAGTTCCCTCAAGATTATAAGTATATATACCAAATAGCACGAAACCTAGATCGAAAGTTTCTTGTTGAAACTTTGAATAATCAGTGAATATGACTTTACATTCCTAAATTTAATTCTTCCTATTTCAATATTCAGATGGTAATTATGTCAACAACATAAATTGGAGCGTTTGAAATAATAAAAATAGATTAAATCTTTGTCTCTAGTTTAACACCGACCGACCATTTTTACAGTCCAATACCTTACAGTGCAATCCTTTCTAGTATTCTTCCATGATAACCATCTATTGTATTAAATCACAATTAATAAACGAATTCTGACTTATATTGCTCTGTAATATAAGTAGTTTTATTGAAATTTTAAATTACAGATTTCTCAATGGTTAAAAGATCATGGAGTATTCGATGATCTATTACCAATGGACAAGTCTAATATCTTACTTATCGCAGAAAATCATCAATCTATACGAAATGTAATACATGCTGAAGCTGCCTATCGTAATATAGATCATGAATTGATAAATTGTTCACCTTGGTCAATATATATAGATTTAGTTGAATTTTGTCAACAATCTCTCTTCCACTTCAATAATTCTAATGATGATGATCAAAATGTTCGTAGCAAAGGAATCACTGAACAAAAGGAATATAAAGAACATCATCTCCATAGTATCTTTGAAGCTGCTCGTGGTAAGTACAGATTTAGTTTTCAAAAAAGTTGTTTAATTTCCCTAATAATAACCTCTATCAAGTGATTAGTTAGATAGATGGTTACTAAAAAAAAATAGGATGTAATGAGCCGTTGTTTTCTTGCATTTCAGAGAATTTTAACCATATTAAGGATTTGTTAACTACTCTTAATATCTGATGTGAAATCGTTAATTGACGTTCACTGATTACGTTAATCTCATTCACTCTTCTATATAAAGTTTCAAATAGTCGTTAATAACTGTCGACAGTAACTGTCAAGATTTAATATGATGATTTTAAGTATATTTGAAAGTGAATATAGTACTAATGGAAATAAAATAATAGTGATATATTCTTAATGTCCTTATTATAGTGAACCAGAACACGAATGGGAACAGTCAAATATATTTGAACACATAAATTACAGAACCTTCTAGTAAAATCTTAGAACCATACGGTAAATAATTCATTTACTAAATATCAATCAATCGTCTTATATTTGATTGTTCATTCGATTCCACAATAAGCATTTTTTTGTTGTCATTCTTTTTTTTTTCTTTAATTTTCTTAACTTATGGACACCAGGCATTTCACTTGTGAATAATGATATGTACTACTTATATCTATCGATATCAGTAGCACATACCACATTTATAAGTAGTAGGTTGAATTTTTTTACGTTTTACAACATAATGTAAGTTGCTAATTCAGTGAATAAATAAACTTTCTTGAATTCATATCAGTTTAAATACTAGTACTGGGATCATGTTAACAGCAATATTGATTCCATTTCCTACTCACTGCATTCTCATGGTGGGAGTGTTGCTTTCAAAATTGGAAGGACGAAAAGCGAATGTCCGATGCTTTTACGGGGTTGATGGATACGGAAAGTTCACTTAGAGGAGCTAGAAAACCCTAAATACAAATCGATGGTGCGCATGGGCTTCGGTATCCTGAGCGAACAAACGACATATGAACCTATAGTTGGTTAACGGCTTCCATGCGATTGCATCTCTTGACGTTGCTCCACTGCCTTGTGGATTAAACCTTCAGGTCAAAGGCTGTGGATGCGGCCCTCTAAGAAAACCACTTGTTACAGTTTGGGCACCTGGGCAGTACCACGGTCCACGCACAAATGAAGTGACTTGTGTGGTACATACGTACTAATATATTGTACTAATATTTATCGATTTAAATAGAATTCACCTTCATAGTTGAATTAAGATATTTCTTTTACATTGTTCATCAATCCTGTGTTGTTTAAACGTTTTCTGTAGATCTTTTATTATAAGAAAATATTGTTTGATAAAATCAAAACATCAACCCTATGACGTCGTGACCGTATTGTAGAGGTTACTGTGGTTGCCTTCTGCGCACTCGATCCGGGTTCAAAATGTTCATGGTCCAGTAAGAACTACTATAGCTTTGGCAGAGAAAAATTCTATCTACATCACCTTACCATTTAGAAGTTATTAAAATAGCCACTTTACTGAAACAAAGGCTGAAGTCAGTCATTAACAAGACATATTATTCAATGAAGGTCATTATCAAGGAAACAACAACATTCATGCTTCATCAAAAACTTAAAAGACAAGAAAATGATTGTGTCACATGCCACTGTGTTTACCAATTTCAATGTGTATGTGTGTGTGGTCACACATACATAAGGAGGAGTAATCATGATCTCAACATTAGGGTGTGTGGACGTGTATCTAAATGATTGCAGAAATAAATAGAATCTAATGACCCAATAAGAGTAGAGAATAAACATCCATCATCCTCTATTGCCAAACACATGATTGAAACAGGTCATATGATTGATGTTAACTCGGGTTTTGGTGGTTTGTTGTACAAAAGTGTAAAAGGGCGTATACTGAGGTTTATTGAAGCCTTAGCCATACGAAGATCTAAACCCCACTTTGTGTATTCAAAAACACTTTGTTCTCAACTTAAACCTATCCTGGTAATATTGGTGATGAGTTTCCACATTGTCTTTCATATGATCTTCTTTATTATCCTTCCCTTCTCTTAACCTTCATTTCTTGTCTAATCTAGTCTAGTCTAGTCTATTCTAGCCTAGTCTAGTCTAGTTCTTAACAAGTATATTATGTATGATCAGATTGTTTGAAATGTATTGCGCTAATATATTATCAGGACTCAGTAGATAGGTGGATAACGCGATAGGGTTTGAAGTGAATTGTACTGAGTTCGAGTCCCAGATTGAATAACAACACTGAGATGCAGGTACATCCAACTGACGAGTGCCAAATAGGACGAAACATGCGTCAAACTGGATTCCACTGCTAGCTGTCACCATCCATCTTTGCTTGTAAAGCTTGTGACTTAGGGCAATATTGAGTCAATTTGCACAGGATGCACATATGTTAACGAGAAACTGATCGATTGCACTTCTAAATAACAATGAGATGATACAAGTAGACAACATCAAGTAAATATCATCACATAATTCTGATAATCTTCGTCTTCTTATTCCTAATATTTTATTTTAATGTTCAATAATTTAATCAAAGTAAAAATATTGGTTATTTCATGCTGTTTATTGAATTGATTTTCCAGCTGTGTCACCAATAAAAGAGATAGAAGTATATTAGTTGAATTAGATTATTGTTTGATAGTCAATCTTCTTAATAATGTAGGGATAATAATTGAAGATAATAAAAAATAGGAAAGAACAATAGCTTTGCACTAATTTCTATCCATTGACCATTATTTAGATTATTGATTATTCATTTATGAAAACTATGAAATCTGATCACTTGTTAGACTTCTGTTCTGGTACGGCTGAGAATGGAGAGAGTTAGCTCTCCCTCTCGAATTGCTTTCACATGGCCATGTGTATACAATCACTACCAGGGAGGTCTTACTCACTACCTTCTCATGGCATTATTGTTGTTTAAGAAATTAAGAAGACGAAAATTGAATGTCCAGTGCTTTAAGCGGGTTGGCGGACACGGAGGGTTCACCTAGGGAAGTTGGAAAGCCCTGATTATAAACCACTGATGCACATGGGCTCCAGTATCCTAAGGGAACAAATGAAGTATAAATCAATTATTGGTCACCGACTACGATGAGACTGAATTTCCTTACGTTGCCATGTGGATTAGACCTTTAGGTCGAAGGCTCTGGGTGTGGCTCCATAAGAAAATCACCTATTTCGGTCTGAGCACCCAGACAGTATCATGGCCCACACATAAATCAGGTGACTTGTGTGACGCATATGTATTCGGTGTGTTCAAATAAATAAATAAATTTATAAAGACCTTTTACAATATTCATTGGTCTATGTATCTTTGTATATGAGTGTGTGGTAGGATATGGGAACTGTCACTTAGAAGTTCTATCTTCTTGCTGCTATAATACAAGGATGTCGCTCTATAGACGTTTTGTTTTATATCATTCGAATTTTTTATGCTCGCTAATTGATCAAAGCAGAATATAGTATACAACTACGGCACTCGAACGTATAGAACCCTCAGAGTTGCAAATCAAAAGACATAAGAATACTGGAGTAGTGTTTACTGGGTAATAATCAAAATGTGCAGAAAATCATGGGTATTCATAAATATTAGCGTTTATTATATCAACATTATAATTCAGTCAATCCGCAAAAAGGCATGTTTTGCCACTGCTCGATAGTAGCATGTCACGTCGATCATCTAAAATGCTCCGTCGTTCTGATTGAATGGAAACTCTTTGTCTCCTTTAAAGCTTCTGGAGTCTCCGACTTAGTTCTCGAAAGTCATACCAATAGAATATAGAAAAAACCGAATGAATTATTTAGTTTCGATTGTATCTATTTGAATTCAACTATTTCATGAAATACCTAAAAATCACTTCGTCTTAAATAGATTGTCAGATCAAATAATATCGCTTGTCATCATCACATGATATGTTTAGTTTGTATGCTTACATTTAATCTATTACATGTTTGGTGACTTTAATTATTGGAATTGATATTTGATAAGTCATGTTAGATTTAACATTTTATCATTGAATAATCGTATAGTAACATGTCTAGAAACTAGAAAATATTATATCAAAACAGTTTCGTGGAGATTTTAGTAATTTTAATACTTCAGATCATGATTTAATTGAAGCTAGATCACTATGGAGAGCCTGGACGGACTGGACTACTGTTTCGTCCTATTTTGGGACTCCTTGGCAGTGCGCATCCATGACCTCGCTTCGCGAGATTTGAACCCAGAACATATCGGTCTCGCAATCAAGCGCTTAACCTCTACACCACTGAGCCAGTCGGTATTCAACAGTGTTAATGTCTAACTTCAACTAATCCACGAAATTGAGCGGCACAATTACTAATGTCTTCAGTGAATTACTATCTCACAACAGACCCGGTCTAGCTTCAATTGACTCATGATCTCAACTATTGAAATTACTATAATCTCCACAAAACCCCTTCTGATATTAATCAACATATGCTCACTAGTGACTGGCTTCAAGAAGCATTTCTTGGAGTTCTAGTGAGAAGCAGAGACCAGTGGAGTTCAACCAGGTCTGTTGTGAGATAGTAACTCACTGATGACAATGGTAGATGTGTCGTTCAATTTTGTGGATTGGCTGAAGTTATATAATAACACCTATGGATGTCGGCCGGCTCAGTATTCTAGAGGTAAAGCGTTCGAGTGCGAGACCGATATGTTCTACGTTCAACTCTCTCGAGGCGAGGTCATGGATGCGCACTGCTGAGGAATCCCAAAATAAAACGAAACGACCATCTGGTTCTTCCACGTTTTCCAAGATGATCTAGTTTCAATTAACTCATGATCTCAAGTATTAAAATTACTATAATATCCATATAAACCCCTTCGAATTAATTAATTAGATATCAGTTTGGGGATCTGTGGAGATTGTAGCATTTTACATTTAAATTTACAAGTTCATATAAGTTAGACCACCATTAAAAACCTGAAAGCACTAGATGAAAGTTTTATCCTAGTATGGGACTCTTCAGCAGTATG